AGTATCTCTTCTTTTCTTTTTGTGATCCTTCCTCATTTTCTGTTTGTTGTGACACTTCTTCCTTTTCCTCCTGTGGTCTCCTTAAAGATACTTACATAACAGGATTGGCTAAAAAGACTATTTCTCTTGTAAGTTCAATATCTGGTCCCTGGATATCATGCTTTATACTGGATCCAGAGATCATTAATCAGATACCATACTTCTCCCCTGTACTTGATCCCAGTTTGAGATCTTTCTGGGGATTACTGAAGGCCTTTGTTGAAGATGCCTGGAAATCCTATATCTTGCTCTGACCCATCTTCCTTTTTCTTATCTCCCCCAGGTGCAAAGAGCAAACTCTAATAAAACTTGTGCACTCATCTTGCCCTTCAGAGTTGGATTCCTGGGGAATCCAACCAGCCACATGCTCCATTGTAAAGAAGGTGACAGGAAGTAGGAACTTCTAGACACAGCCCTCCGTTTAGCTGCTACATGCCATTTTCAGTCAGCTTTTCCATGGTAGAGGGTGGATGGTTTCCTGCATCTCTCAAACTCCAAGGTCAGGTAATATACTCTTTACATAGTTTCCTGGAAAGGGAGTAGTCTTCCCTTTATGTTGTAGGAAGGGGAGGATCCATGATGTTGACAATTCTGTTATAGAAATCCAATTGCTAGTCCTCCTCTGTGTCAAATCATACTCCGTTTGAGATGAACAGTAGAAAAAGCTTCCAAAAACCATTTTCAAAAAAGCTCTTTCTTGCGCCTTTCATTTTGGTAATAGGGGTAGTTAGTACCCATTGTCTTGGAAGCTCAGTTAAAATGGAGGTAGAAGAGTTCCCTTTTAATGCCCTGCTATAGGGCAAAGCCACTCCAGTGGGTAGGGAGGATGTCTTTGGTCCCTCCATTCTATGCCATTCTTGGTCATCTAGGCTTCAGGACAGAGCTGCTTGAGGACCTGTGTTATAATTTTCAGTTATAGTTCATTTCTGTTGATGCCATTTTTGAAGGAGGGGGCTGACATTTCCTTCCTATCCACCATTCCTCTTACTTGAGTGATATATATATATATATATATATATATATATATATATATATATATATATATATATATATATATATTTGCCTTAGAGGTTACATCCATCAACCTGGAAACCTGGACAGTAGAGCCTTAGTTTTTCTGGTTCCTAAACCTGGATATGACTGGGACTGCAGATTTTTCTGCTTGTCACTCATTTTCTCAACCCATTGCAGCCTACCACTACCAAATTTTTGCCACACGTTTGTATAAAGTATGATTTTGTTCTCAGTTTTCATTATGAAAAATATTAATCATATTTTCTCCGTTAAAAAGTTGGGGGGGTGAATGCCTTGCCTGTTGGTGTCAGAAATCTTAAGCAGGGAATAAACCTGGGAAATGTAGTATATGTCCAACTGGGCTGTGTCCTTTTAGAAGGAAGGGAATCCTTAGGGTTCTCCTTCACCAAATTGACACTTTATGCGTTTCTTGAGGCAACAGAGCAGAGTGGTCATAGGCCAATGACAAGGATATAAACCAAAAGATCTCTTATCATTTCAATCTCATCTTTTGACCTAGCAATGGAGCACATTAACCTCAAAGTTATTGGTAATCCAGGTGTAAGGGATGGGGAAGCTGGGGTTGTTATTGGGAAGCACATTCCAATAGAAAAAAAAGCATCCCCTTCAATAAAATCACAGAACTCTTTTTGAAAGATAACAAATTCTGGATTTGTGGGGCCAATAGGTATAGTGCTTAACAGTAGATGTGATTATAAAATTATCTGTTTGTTTGGCCTGAAGCCAAACACAGGGTGTATAGCTTTTAGATCCTGGCTTTCAGTGACAGGGAGGATAGATTATACAAAGTCATAAAATGACAGGTTGGCTTTGTTTGAATGCAGTACCACGCAAGAAGGGAAAACTTTTCAATTGGAGAAGGAGCGAAGGCCTGTCAGATGGCCATTCCTTCCATCTCAATTCCCTGTCTTCCATGCTCTCTCCCTCTGAAATCAACTAAATATAAACAAATGAGGGTTAGATGGGTATTATATGAGATAATGTATGCACAGGACAGGAACAAATGCACTTTAAGAACACTGGGTATCATCCATGACTCTGAGACCCAGGGCCTTTTCTCACCTCTTCATAACAGCTATTGTGATGATCCACTGAAAGGTGCTAAGTACTAATGTAGCCATAGATCTCTTTTGCTAAGTCTCACCTGTTCCAACATGATTTCTAGCCACTTTTGAACCACCTGTTACTTTGGTAGGACTCCTGAAGTCATCTTTCTCCTGCCTACCTGTTCATCACAAGTGCTTGCCCTCTACCAAATTTGTAAATTAATCTCTTATTTCAAGCTCATCTTTCTAATGGGATACTTTACAAAGAAGAGAGGGAGCTACAGATCCAATCTTGTCCTTGTTAATTAAATATTCCAGGCTTCCACAGTCTTTGTTCCTAAGCAGTGCAGCAGGAAGTTGGGAGACAGACAGAACCAGCGATGGATGAACAATGTGCTCCCATTTTAAGCAGCTGAGGAGCTTTGCTTATGGGTGCCCTAACATCAGCTTCTCTAGAGACACCCCTGTAAGCCAGACAAACAACTCTGGCACCTTCACCTGCCATTAACTTTCAAAAATATACCTCCTTTAATTCCACACAACTTCTAAAAATTAAAGACAGCCTGCATCTGGTTCACACTCTCAGTTCCTTCTTGCAAAAACTGTTGAACTGAATCCTAGAAGAACTTTTCAGAGATCATTGCGTCCATGGCTCTTTTCTAAACAAGGCCAGGTGTAATCCCTTGAGATATTATACAGGGCTTTTGCTTTACTCTCTCATGCACTGCCAAAGTCCCAGCCTTCAAAGCTATCTGTTGGGATTTCCACAAAATCTGTTGCATTGTTTATCTTAGACTGGAGATCTTCCACTCATAAAATCCCAATTAGAAAGAGGCAGTGGGGAAGAAGCTATGCTATTGTGGTTAAGGCATTGTTCAATGATCCCTTACTCTTCCTTTTGTGTGTGTGTTTTCCATGAACCTCACACACGTGAGGCATCTCCATCCCCTATCTTTCCTCTTTTTAAAGGATGGCCCCCAAAGTTAACTTCTAACCTTGCTAAAATGTGTTCTATATGTCTTAGACATGTTGCTTTGGGACCTGCCAAGCATGGCCTGGGCCTCAGGCATTCTGATGAAGAACAACTTTAGACACCTTGAAGTTACTAAAGTGCTTGGGTTTTGTCCCAAGTGAAGTAAATAAGCTTTTAGTTAATAAAGCTTATTTAGTTAATACACTTTATTAAGCGTATTAACTAAATAAGCTTTTTTCCCTTGGTAAACACAGTTGAACCTCCTTAAGGTAAAGAAATGTGTCCAACAGGATTAGCTGATTGGAGAAGTGAAGTAGGACATTACCTACCAACTTTCTAGAGAAAAATGTGCAGTCTTTGAGTTTGTTAGACGTGCTGCTTGATTTCTAAGTTTGTATATATGCTGTTCAGTGGTTCTAAAAACAAATGGGTTAATGAGTCGGTCCAGCTCTTTATTGGTTTTCCCCTCTCACTAGTCTTGGTTTTCCCCTCTTCCTAGTCTATGTCCCAAGGTTCTTCAAAAGCATCCCTATCACCCTTCCTGTGTACTTGGAGAGGAAGAGTATGTGCTTATTTTATTATTATATGCTAAAACAAACCTCTTACATCATTTCTGCATATTATTCTAATATATAATGTGGTGAAAGACTATAGGTTTTTGAATCTCAGGACAGTTCAATTTTCTGCTCTTGTTTACTCTTCAATTCACACTTGTGAAACCTATGGTTCCTTTTCCAAGACTCAAACATTAAGGGCCCCCTCCTTTCCTGAAGTTTCCCTGCTGGATCACGTAAGGTCAGGTACATGGGGACTGGGACGATGGAACAGCTGGGCTGACATGCATACCGCATAGGTGACAGACACCTTCAAAGCCACTGGTCGAAAATCCCCGTGTTCCAACTGACTGCAAGAGCGCTTAGGTCCACGATTTTCCGGAGCTTGACTTCTTGGCGTTTCTAGGAGCTTGGAGACAGAGGGCTGGCTCCAGCTCCAATGTCTTGAGAGCATTCTGCCACTTCTCACCCCAAGATCACACACATGAGGGAACCAAATCCAGTTCTGGGCTTGCTGGAGAACGGCGTGGGTGCTGAAGGGGTGTTGAGAACAGGAGGCAGCAGGACAGATGTCTCCCCAATTCCAGCCTAACACAACTCGCAAACGACCCTGGGAACCAGTTGGGAAAGGGCGGGGCAGGCTGGGCTCTAGCTCATTAGCATTGAACTTTCTCCCAGACCTCTGGGATGGCAAGGTCAGCAGCGTTCCACTGCGAAGAGCGCGTCGCCCAGGTCCGGAGCGCGGCCCCCTGGGACCTCAGGATTAGTTACACCCAGCCGGAAGGGCTGCGTGGCGGGCCCAGGGACGCGGGAACGCCGCGGCACCGAGCAGAGACTCTCGAGAGGCCTAGCCGCGCACCGGACCCTCGGCCTCCGCGCGGCTGCCCTCGCCCCAAGGGCATGGCGTGGGTGTCAGGACGTGGGCGCGGGGGCGCACTCCCGAAACCCCGCTCCCCAGAGCCGCGGGACTAGACCCCAACTAGTCGCGCCTCCCCAGCACTAAAGTCCACCCTATACCCGTCACCCCGCCGACCTCAACAACAACAACTCGCTGACCAGCTGAGGGAGGAGGCCGGGCCGAGGCGTCCCAAAGTGGCCAGCGCGGGGGCAAGGGGGCGTGGCGGGGGCGTGCCAGGGGCGGGCAGCGGCTCCGACCGCGCCTTCCCATTGGCTCAGGCGCAGTGGGAAGCCCGGACGCGGGAGGGGGCGGGGCTTATGGAGGGGCGGGGCCCTCCGGCGCGCTTCCCGCCCCCGTCCCCGCCCCCTGCGCCCGCGCCCCTCGCGCCCTCCCACTCGCGCCCTCCCCCGCATGGGCCACCAGAGTTTTTAAAGTGGGACGGTAGCTGCGGGTGCCGGACATTCGGGAGCGGTCAGCTGCACAGCTCCGGCGTCCGCCGCCGCGCTCCGCCCCAGCTCTCCTGAGGCGGCCGTACAATCCTCGGCAGTGTCCTGAGACTGTATGGTCCTCTCAGCAGCCGCTCGGCTCCGGACTCCTTCCAACCCGCGTCCTGGGAGCCGCTTCGGGGGTTGAAAACTCAAGGAAAGTGACTTTTGTTCCGGGGGAGGAAAACAACCACCACAAAGGAAGAAGAAAGGAAGAAACTCGGAGCCCCGCTCGCCGCCCGGGTCGCGGCGGACAGCCTCCCGCCCGTCCCGTCCCGGCCCCGCCTCCGCGTGCAGGTTCCTCCCCGCCACCTCTCCCGCCCCCGCCCCCGCGCCGGGCCGCAGCCGCCCGCCCCGCACACTTCCACCTGACGGTGCGGGGCATTTGGATCTGTGCGCGTTTAAGGACTTTTCATCCCCGGCGCGGGCCTCCGGGAGCGAAGGCAGCTTGCGCGCGGCCGGCCGCGGAGCCCAGGTGCTTGGCTGGGCGTCTCCGAGAGCCTCCGCCACAATGACAGCTGACAACGAGAAGAAAAGGTAAGGCGGCCGGCCGGGAAGCGGGAGCGGGAGGCCCTGGCCGCGCTGACCCGGCGGGCCCTGGGAGCGTTGGGAGAGGCGGGGGTCTGGATGGAGGGGAGGATCGGACTGGAGGGTTTTGAAGGGAGAGAGCGCAAGCAGGTTGTTGGTTCACGTTCGAGGAGTGGCACCCGAGAACCGTGGCCGGAAGGAGTCGCGAACCCGCGCGTCCAGGCGGGGTGGGGGCTCCCGAGTGCGCCGTTCCTGGGCACCTGGTTACCCACCGTCGCCGGCAGGTTCAAGTGTTTCTGAGTTGATGCCCTCGACTTTCTCAGCTCCCACCAGTCGGGGCAGCAGCCACGCCTCTTTTTCCCTTGCTCCGAACCCCCCGGGTCCTTTCAAATCCGCTTTGGTGCGGGCCCGCTGAGCCCAAGCTGGCACCCGGGCGGAAGGAGCCAAAGGGGCCGGGGCGCGGCAGAGGGCACCCCCCACTCCAGCTTCACGCAAGCGCTAGCTCTACAGCCCCCCTTCCCTCACCCCGCACTTTGACATCGCTGGAGAGTGGGTAGTGACCTGGATTGCCCTGTGGGGGCAGGTGTCGTCGTAGTGTGCGGGGAGGGCGTCCCCGGGTGCCTGACTCCCGAGAGGACAGAGAAGGGCAGCCACGACCTGCCTGCCCGCCCTCACGAGCCTTTGGGCACTGGGTGAGAGGCAACTCCGGCCAACCTTTATTGCCCTCCCGCTGCCCTCCCGCCCTCTCCGGGTCGGGCGGCGCGGCCCAAGTCTCTGGGAGCGCGGGGGTGGGGAGCACTCCGCTCTTGGGTCTGGTCTCGTTTCCGTCAAATGTGTCCTGGCTCACATCGGACCCCCTCCACTCCTCCTTCTACTCGTTCTACCCCCGTGGCCTGGTGCTTTCCAGTCCGTGGCTCCGCGGCGACGCGGCAGGAGTGGCCTGCTGGTACCCAGAATGAAACGCGCGGCTTGGAACTGGTCTGCGCCCCTGGAGAACCCGGGGCTGGGTGGCTGTGAGGTGGTGAGCGTCCATGAAGCTTGGAAGGGACTGACTGGCTTTGCAAGGTTCCCGGACCCGAGCTGATTTGCTCTTGTTCGGACTGCCACTTCGGGACCCGCGCCAGAAACAGTGTATCCTCGGGTGGAAAGCGGCAGCTCCCACCTCGGAGCACCGATAAGGATTTGATAAACCGGAGCGAATCGCTGCCGTCCTGGCCCTGAGCCCTGGCCCTTCACTCCCAGATCGCATGGGGGAGGGGATTGAGCCAGGCTCCCTGTCCTGGCAGTGGTTCAGCCTCAACTTCATTACATTGTTGCGTGGGATGCCTCCCCAGGCCTCAGGCTGGTAAGGGAGCCCTGGAGTCCACAGCCCATGCACCCCTAAATTCTAGGAGCAGCTCCGAGGTCCTGCGTCCTTTGTGCGCAGTGAAACAAGCAAAATACCAGTGCATTTTGTAAACAACAAACAACAAAGTTATACACAGTTCCTCGGAAAGTACCCTGAGCTCTGGTGGGCTCCCGAGCGACAGACAAATTTACTGTACATTTTACACCGGTGATGCCTGTGGGCGAATTTTGCAATGATGAAGGTGGGATCTGATGGTAATCTTGACAAATGTGTGAAGTGTCAGCTTCTCCTGTGAGCCTTGGTCCTGGGTCCTCTGCTATTATGTATGTTCATACTCTAAAGAAACTTGGGAGCAAGGAGAAAATGGTTTGAAACATTGGGCTAGTGTTTTTCCTTGGTAGAGGGGCTGGCAGAGAGATGGGGGAGACCAAGGGGGAATGGGAAGAAAGTTGCATACTAAGATTTCAAATTATTGGTAAAGATTGTTGGCTTTAACAGCTAAAGCCCTAGGAGGAGGCCGCTGGGTGTATTGCAGCACTCTACTGGCCGCTGAGCTTCTAGCCTCACACTCTGTGACCTGCCTGGGGTTTTGCACCGCAGAACGATAGGACAAACAGTGTGCCTCTTACTATCCAGGGGCCTATTAGAGGTTGAACAATTATTGTTAAATTAATCTGGTTTTTAAACTCATTTACTATTTTTTTAAGTGCCAGGGCCTTGATCTCAGTACCAGGATGCTCTCCTTTAGCTTTTCCCTTTAAGGCTGGTATTCTACCACTTGAGCCACACCTCAACTTCTGTCTTTTTGCTGGTTATTTGGAGATAAGAGTCTTAAGAACTTTTTTTCTTCTGTCTGGCTTTGAACTACAGTCCTGAGATCTCCACCTCTTGAGTAGCAAGGATTACAGGTATGAGCCACCAGTGCCCAGTTTCATTTACTTTTTTGCTTCAGGCACATTTTCTGGCTTCAGAGAGGCCAAGATGTAATTAAAATTTGTAAACAAATTCACTGAAAGTTTCTCTGGGTGTCTCACAAATTCCAAGGGGACTTTCTGCTAATTCTGACCACTGATTGTTAAAGGTTTGTATTCCTTCTGATTCTGAGCCATTTCTTCCCTAAAGCTTACAGCTCACAAACACATTTTTGTTCATTCTAGCAGTAACCCCTCGAGAAGTAAGCCAGATTATTTTGTTCCAAAACATTAATATGTGCATGGTTATGTTAAGAAAAATCCTGGCTGTCTAGCATGACTTGGTAGACAAAAAAAAAAAAAAAGGAAGATCTTGAGTTTTGGTAGATGCCTCCTTAACCCCTCAGGTTTCAATGCTAGGCAGAGCTAAGTATGGACATTCTTGAGCAGCATGGGGATTTACAAAGTAGTTAAGGTGAATGTGTGATTCTTGGATAATCGGGTATCAAAGTCCAATCCTAAAGGCCAACTTAGGTCTGAACACCTTTCAGGAATGTTTATATTACTTAGAGCAGGGACAATGATGGAAGATGGAGGTGGAATTGGAGACACTTGTACTAGAAGTTTCCAAACTACTTTTCTCTTCTCACGCCAGCTGGACTTAGTCGTTCCTCTGTTGAAATCAATGAGAGGCCTTTTCTTTTTCAATTCTTAAGGAAACATATTGCTAGACAATTGACACATATTTTTATAAATATTCCTTCAACATTTGACATCACTTTTAAAGGGGGTTGGTGCAAACGGTGTAATATATTACTAATTCTTACCACTTTCATGGAATTCAAAAGAACACTGTGGCTTCAAATTTGTTAACTGTTACTGATAGAGACTATAAGATTATGTTATAAGGGATCAAGGAAACAATCTAGTCAAATATTTTCTCTTTCTGGATAAGACCCAGAGAAGGTAAAACAATTTGTCTAATCACAAGGAAAATTAGTGCTGATAAGAATCATGATCCTTGCTCATTATTTTCAATTAGTGTGTTTGTTCATAAGACAACTCCCAGCACTTAAATATCTCTACACAGTAAGGATGATTTTCAAATGATCAGTGCAACCCACCACCACCTTCATGCCTGGGAAACTTGTAGAAAGATTTGCTTTTCAAGATAATTATGGGAGACTCAGGCTGTAGCCAGAGTGGTACTGTTTTCTTTATGCCAAAGAAAGAGCTGGAGCGAAAAGAAACAGAGAAAGGAAGAGGGGGGAAAAGGAAAGAGCCATTGATGCTGGTTTCAGTATTTGTAAACTCTGGGAAGTAAAAACATGTTGTTTTAATGTCCTTTTATTTCAGTTAGAAGAAATATCTATTTCTGTGTAGACTTTATTAAAACTAAAGTCAGGAATGCTTCTCCACAGAGATTGCTTCATAAAGTAGAAAACATTCCCATAGCTATTTGATTGCTTCTTGTATGGGGTGAGTTGGCATTTTCACAAGAAATGAAAAATCACAAAACTAAACCAGTCTAATTTACTTAGAATGCAATCAATTTCTTTATCCCTCTGTGTCTATCTCTGAATTTGTAAGGTGATTCTAAACTTTCTAGGAATCTACTCTGTAAAATGCTTAGAAATAGAAGAAACCAATTAGATAATTTTTAGAATTCTAGGACTTTAGTCCAATGTATTTGCAAATACTTGCTGTAATTAATTTTATCTTAAAATTTAGGCTTTTTCAGTTTTCAGGAACTCTTTTTTATTCAGTAGCTGTTTTTGTGTTTTAGTATTTTCTCAAGTTCTGTCCTATACCAACTTGATTATTTTCTTATTCATTTTAGCCTATTTTTTAAACTTTGGCTTTTTAGTACAGATTGACAGTATATAACAGGCCTGGCTTTTTACCAATATTATGCAGTTAGCAATATCTGTTCTCAGGGCCTCCAAACCTTTATCCTTACTCCCACCCCTAGTCTCATGATCTCTATTCTCACAGTGGTTTTTGCACTAAGATATAAATCAGTGTGTTGAATACCTACTTCCAATGTAGAAAAAAAATGATGTGAAGGGAAGCCTAGAAAATAGGGGCTATGTTAACTTTGAAGTTGCTTAGTCTGGGGAAATCTATGAAGGGCATAAAAGAAAGCTCATGAAAATATAAGCTGGCAACTTTTCTGGAGGCATCAAATATTTTTATCTGTCTTTTCTGGAAAGATCAAATATTTTGAAGCTGAAGATAGGAAGCACTGAATTGTATTTAAGTATTTAATAAACACACACGCACATACTTAATAATTTAAGAGAATTGTGGGGATTAGGGGATCCGGCTCATAAGGTCCCTAGAATTGCACAGGGTAGGACCAAAGACTAGTTTAAAGACCACTCCTAGAGAAGGAATACTGGAAAAGTTAGAGTTTGGGACTAATGAGGGTAAAGAAAACATAGATCAAGGATATTCTCTATGGTGAACTTCAACACCATAGACAGAAAAGCTACCTAAATTGACTGTGTACTTTCAACACTTGCTTTGGGTAAGGAGCAATCTGGGAGAAATGCTTGTAGAACTCCATAAATTATAGGGGCTGAGGTAAATTTTGTGTTCCATTGAGGTTAACAATAGAGATAACCATGACTTCTTAAGGAAGGAGTAAGGGGCAAAAAAAAAAAAAAAAGAAGAAGAAGGAAAGAAATAACCAAACCTAGGGTTAGAGTTATGGCTCAGTTGGTAGTATGCTAGCCAATGAGCAAAAG